GCCCAGCTGGTGCAGTTCAGCAGCTGAGTGTCAAGCCAGGAACCAAGAGGCCACTGGTTCGACTCCCAGTCAGGGGACATGCCTGGTTTGGGGCTCCATCCCCAGTGTGGGGCGTGCAGGAGGCAGCGGATCAATGATTCTCAGTCATCATTGATGTTTCTCTCTCTCCCTCTCCCTTACTCTCTGAAATCAATAAAAATACATTTAAAAAAGTAAAATAAAATCTGTGCCTTTCATTGCAGGTAAGTTATATCTTGCTTTTTAAAAAAGTAATTTTAAAAAAATACCTTAATGATAAGTGAAAAGAGCAAGTCACAATATGATTCCAATTCATGAAACCCTCAACCACAGGCAAATAACCTACTTCTCACTGTGAAATGATTTCCTAAAGCATCGGCCACGAGAGCTCAAAGTGACTGCCTCTGGGGAGACCACTGTTTTTCTCACACAATTAGGGACTATTTGACACTTTGAAATCCGGGCATAGCTAACTTCCGTAAACATATAAAGACCACAGAAAAATCACCCCCGCTTGCAGGACGGTGGTGTTAGCTTCTACGCAGAACTGTTGACATTCATTTCAAATTGGAAATTCGTTCTGATGGGTGAGCCCGGCAGAAACTTCACCCGCTAAGTCCAGGGGGCCGAGTCCACGGGCCGTCGGTTGTATAATGCGGGCACCCCGTTCCTAGTGAAGCATGAAAGACAGTGGGGGGGACTGGCATCCGGTGTGACAAGGCGCTGCGAACGTGTGCGTTCAATTAGAGGCAGAGCGGACGGTGACAGGGAGCCAATCTGTGCCCCCTCATGACAAAGTCTCCCTCTCGCCCAGCTGACACAAATGTTAAGGCAGATTAAACACGGCCTAATTAACCAGCATCCCCGGGACGCGGGGACCAGGGCGAGGTGCCCTTCAGGCAAATAAACAAAACCCCAGGACTTGCCAGCCCTCGGGCCAGCCCAGATCCACCATGTCGGCCAACTGCTAGGCCGTTAGGCCATTTTGCTTTCTCACGTCTCTCCTTTCAGGGAACGGCCTGTAATATTTACAGAAAAAGGCAAGGCGGGTAAACAGCTTCACACAATGAGGTGTGAGGGTTGATAGGGTCCTTATTCAAGCTCTGAACTCCCCTGATGAGCTGCCAAAAGTTGTTATGAATGGCCCAGCTGACAGGGTGTTGACTGATAAAGGGAAAACAAACAGCCCGGGTAATTCATGAGAACACACAGCGCCAAGACAACCCCGAGTGGCGAGTGACAGTCCAGATAATGGAATTTGGGGAGCTTTTCTTACGGGGCCTTCCCTATACAATTATTCTGTGAATAGATTCTCCCCGAACGTAGCTGGATCTTCGACTTTTTCCCGCCAAAGAACACGTCTTGTGATCGCCGGCGGCGAGGGCGCTGGCCTTGGGCTTTGATACAATGGTCAGTTTTTCAGGCCATTTCCTCTTCCCGGGCCAGGATGGATTTCACTAGTAGGTGAGGCCTGTGCCTGCCACTTAAAGAAATAAAATATCCTATTTCCATGTCTGGCACTCGAAACATTTCAAAGCATTCTTCCTTCATCTCTTTCATTCATCTGCTGCAAACCTTTGATTGGAAAATAAATATTGGTTTATGCACTCCACTGCTAATATGTTGAAGGGGAACGATTTAAATGGGCTTGAAGTCAATTTCCAATTCTGAAAACCCATTTTGGGTTCATTTTCTTAAATCAGGCGTGACCAAGCAAGAAAGTACCAATTTGTCAATGCTTTGCCTTTGTACCCAATGGTTTTTCATGAAGTTCGTTGTGCTTTCTATAACAATGGCCTCTCTCTCAATTAATGGTTTAGGAAGCAGGGCTAGAAAGGCATATAT